CCCCAAAACCCCAAAACCCCATGATATCAAAATTCGAGAATCTAATAAATGAAAATAAATAATTAAAAAGCCAGCCATTATATCATTAGTTCTTGTTATAGTTTTCCAAAAATTATTTTTTTTGCTCTTCCCCATTAGTTTGATATGGCCATAAATTTTGTTCAATCTAAGTAGATTTTTGAGCAACATCATCTTTAGATTTCTCAAAATTATCATCATTATATATTTCAGTAACCATGGATTTGAACTAATTCTAGAAAATCTTTTAGTTATCTTTAAATTATGTCAATAACTATGATAGTTCAAATTGAATCTAGATATTATTCTTATTTATTGATTTTTCAAGTCCTAAATATTTGCAAAATTTATTATTTTCGCAATCATGATCCTACAGCCACTATTTTTAACCTTCCAAACTGATATCAACTTTTCCAAACATCCCCTCTATGTACGAATGAATCAAAGGATCAGTTAAAATTAAAGAATTTGCAATCCTCCAACCCTAAACATCAACTATTGTCATCATTTTATCAGTGATTGATTGTGTCCAATGGCTAAATGCACTTGCTAGCTAATAAAATTCTTATAATTTCTAATATTAAAGTTCTTTGCCAATAGCCTCTTTTCCATTAAATTATTAGTTATTTTTCCTATTAGAGAAATCCTCAATTTGCATGTTATACTTTTCCATTTCTCCTTCTTGAAACAATTCAACTTAATAGAATTGCTACTCTGTGTTATTAAAATGCGGTACTAAGAGATAGGTATCTAAGTATTTTAAACTAAATCCAGTATCTTTAATGACTTTATTAAACTTTTATGATAAGTATTTAGCTATTATAAGCTGTATCAAATCCTAAAAGACTGTAGTATCCTTAATACTTTCCCCCTATTGTTTCAAGCATTTTAAAGCCCAATATTTAGTATTATTCATTGGTGCTTCTTAATATTCATTATATTCTTATGAGTATACATAACTTCTGTGTTGAATCGCTCAATGCATTTTACGCATGAAACCCTCTTTTGTTTCATAATCTATGTAAAGTTCTAGTTTTTCTTGTATTTCAAACTTTAGATTCTCTTCATTGAACTTATAAAGATCATACCATCTATATTTAGAAAAGTCTTTTAACATTGATGATGTTTATTTCCCTTAATTCCTGAAGAATTATCTGAAGATTGCTTTGATGTACTCTGCATTTTCTGTGATTTAAGTCGTTTTAGTTGCATTTAATATTGTAATAATCAGTTCATCTTTCTTTATCAATAAGATTTTATCTACACAAGATTTGCATAATTTAAGATAGCAAAGTTGCTAGCTTTTTTTAAATTGATTTCCACATATAAAATATTCATTAGCAGTCCATTTTTCACATAATCTATGAAATGATTTTACATTTTTATCTCAGATCATCATGATTAATGGGATTGCTCATGACTTTATGAATTAAATATAGTTATAGATATTTTAATATTTTTTCAATGGGGAACTTACCTGCATTCAACTGTCTTTAAATTAGAGCCAGGTTAATTCTAAACTTTTTATATCTTAGTCTCTTTGCACAAACAAGGGAGTTCCTTTATAGTAAGCAAGATATCTGGTGGTGCAGGATTTCTCAATTCAATATGATGATGTCTTTATTACTAATTGCAAAGTTTTATAAAAATTATCTTACTCTAATGTTTAATCGACCTAATGGTTTATCATCGTATTGAAGATTAACTAATCTTTGTTCTTCATTTAGTATTCGATCATCGTCTGCCCTATATGCTCAATAATATCCTTTTAAGTAGTAATTATCTTAGTCAGAGAGATCTAAATAATGTATTTTCCCATATATAAAAGTTCTATTCTTAACGTTGACATCATTTGTGCCCTTTTTTGACATTATTGCATTATACATTTCCCCTTTTAGTACTCCCTCGATTTAATACTCTGTATTTCTTGATTAATCTTTCCCTTTTCCATTTATATATCCATTTATAATTTAGAAGTCCTCTAGATGTATTTATTCATCTGGCAAGGTTTCAAATAATTATTTCTGCAGTATGAAATATCTATCAGCTGCTGCATCAATTGGTTGATTATTATTGGGTCTTAGAGACAACATTCTACAAACAATCTGGTCTAAAATATTTTTAAAAATTATAAATCATATCTCCCATTAAAAAATCTATAATAAATTGATCAAATTATTTTTCTGTTAAAATTGCAATTATTCTGATAAATTTTGACAAAATTTGGCAAGATGGGGTTTTGGGGTTTTGGGG